CAGTGGGGATGGCCATGCTGCAATCCCTTCTCCTCCATTCTCCTCTCAGGATCCTGGGCATGCACGCACATGTGCCCGGTGTGAGTTTAAGTCACCGGGTCCAGGACTCAAACCACGGTTGACTACATGGGAGTCCAGCGACATAGCCATTATGCTAACTGCTGGTCCCACTTCAACATATTTTTAAGAAGCTAAAAGGTAAGTGACAAACTAGGGAAAAGTTTGGCTATATGAGAGGACTTCAAAAAGCTTGTGGAAAACATAATTAAAGTACAAGTTTATTTCGATGCAAACATTTTGAAATTTATGTATTTTTAAAAATAATGCACATTTTCTAAAAACTTTTTGAACATTTCTCATATACATGTAACATTATATATGTATATATATGTATACATATAGTTACTTTATCTTATTTACTTTAAGTTTCATGAGTAAGGATCATATATGTAATGTATAGCACAGGGTCTGACACATAGTAGGCCCTCAAAACAATTAATTAATGTATGAATGAAGACTGGTTAACATGATCATATAAAAAACAACACTAAAATATCCAATTGAAAAATGGGCCAAGGGCAGGTACAAGGAATTGATAAAAGAGAAAATGAACTTTGAAAAATTGTTCCATCTTATGAAAAATAAAAAATCAGTATTATCAAAAGGGTAAGTTTAATATTGTTAGTGAACATCCGGGGAGAAGGGCTTTTCAAAATGCTGACATGAGGTTTAATTTGTACCATCTTTCAAGAGGGCATTATGGAAATATGTATCAAAGCTTTAAAAATCTCTACGTAATGTGATACAGTAGAAAGCTGTATTGTTATCCTAAGACCAAACATTCATGAATGTATGTGCACAATGATTTGGCAACAAGAATACTAACTGTAGCTTCACTGATGTTACCAAACAGAAATAAATGTCTGGGCTGGCTCCATGGTCTGATATTACGGGAGCGGGATCTTACATGGCTAATTTTTCAGTTTGAGCCCTGGTCCCTGGAGCTTGAAAAACACGCTGGGCAGAAGTACAAGCATGCCTCAAACCCCAATGGAATGGAAAAAATGGAGAAGGGATTGTGGCATGACCATGCCCCAGTGGGGATGCTTTCTCTCTCTCCTCTCTCTGGTGAGCACATGTGACCTCTGGCAAAAAACAAACAAAAAGAAAGACATATCCTAAAAGAAAGCTACACAATGGAATATGACACAGCCATTAAAGTGATAAGCAAGGATATTCAGTGACGTGGAAAAATTATTTCTTAAATATGGTGAAGTGATCAAAAGAAATAGGTTACAAGATGGGATTCATAACCTGATGACCAGGAAACAACCAAAAGAAAAAGCATTTACAGTCCCTTTAAATCTTCTTTCTCAGGTAGACTATTTTAAATTTCCTCAACTATTGGTCCTTAAAAAAGCGGGCAAATTTTCTGAGGTCCAAGAGTAGCCCACGGGTATAGGAAGCCTGGGGGCCATTATGGAAAATGTTCATGGTACACTTTCTTAAGTTTGTGTTGAATGTGCTCTGTTTTGGCAATCTCTTTTTAAAACCTGGATCTGGCCAGGTACAGGTACACAGTGGGAACAATGAACAATATTACCAAGCTAATAGAAGTTCACTAGGTAGGGAGGATGGGAAAGGTCTTCCAAGCATAGGAACCAGAATATATGAAGGTGCAGACATAGATGGTTATGGCACACTCAGGGAATGGCAAATAATAAACTCCTTGGGATTGGATCCTATTTGGACTTGATGAGGGAACTGAGTATGAATAGCAGGGGAAATGGAGAGGTAGGTCTGTATAAATGAAGCTCAGGATTTGGGGCTTCCCTCTAGTGTTTGCAAGTCTGAGGAATTGCATGCTGAGATAAGGTTTTAGGAAAAAGCACTGTGGTCGCTACATCCTGAGTACAGTAATTGGTTTAAGTAGAAGGAATCATATGATCAGTCAATTTTGAAAACTTTAGGATCAGACGTACTGCTGGTTCTGTTGTATGATGGCCCAGGGATTTTGGGGTGGGCTCCAAGGAGCAATGGGACCACGAGCCCACCCAAGGCAGAAAGAGGAAGCAGGCGATGGCAGGTGGGAAGCACTCATGTTTTCTGCTTTCATCCTCTTCATGTTTTCCCTCACTTGGGGCCTGGGCAGCTATGAGGAGGTGGGTGCCAATGCCAGGGAAGGGCAGTGGCTCTGGGCTCTGCAGCAGGGGCTGTCTCAGAGGCTCTGTTGGTGGGCTGTGTCTGCATCTGTAGGACTGAGTTGGGTTAGCTGGAGACAGGATGGAGGAGACAGGAACTGAGAAAGAACTGCCAGGTTCTGTGAGGTCAACATGTGTTTGCAGCAACCCAGAATGTAACTGAGAATGTAATTAGGTGATTTTTGTTTTTGTTTTGTTTTAAAGGAAAAATTCAGAACCTGTGACTCTTGTTCATGAGCACATGCCTGGATGTAGTCATTTGGAGTTTATGGAAAATGTGGTCAGCCCCATAAATCAGTACTGAGGAATTCTTACAGTCATCACCATGCAAGCAATGCAGGTCTGCAGTGAGTCTCCTAAAGTTATGCAAAACAAAACAGAATAAGCATGTAGACAAAGCTAGAGTACCCCCCTTCCCCTGAAGTTTTTTTCTGAGCAGCCATAATGCAAATCTGAATTCCCATTTTTACCTAATCGGTGACCTTTCTTGTGTAACTTAATGTGTGCATCAAGTTGTTGTGGCTGTTGTCATGACTACAAGGACACAATTCTCTGCATCTTTTTCTCTCATATATCTCATTCACATTTTACTTTACTTACTCTTCTCTCATATTTTAGCAAGATTCTGTAAAGGAAGCCCATTTAAAAGTGAACTGGAAAATCATGAGAATATAGTCAAATGTATTCTAGTTCTTAGACTTCCTGTACCTCAGATCTGTTATTTTGTGTAGCTAGACAATGAAAGTTCAAAGTGTATTGTGTTTCTTAAAAGCTTGGGAGCATCTTCAAATATAAATACAAATTTTCATTCACAATTAGTAACTAGAGATTCAATTTAGATGTGATTCATAAGATGAAATTCCATCAGTTTCCATTCCATTGTTCTTGGAGTTATACAATCAGTCTTTTGCCCCAAACAGTGTTGGTTCTTATATCTTAGGAATATTAATTTTTTTCTACCCACTCTGTTATACTCCTCCCATTTCTTAGGTTGGCCCAGATTATTAATTTGTTTCTATGAAACTGGTCAGTGGAGAACAGAATGTTAAGTGGAGATTTCAGTTGCTTTGAAAAAAAAAAACAAAAACAAAAACAAAAACGGTATTACACATTACACCAGCCTGTTCTGTCACAAACAATAGTGAAATCATGTTCCTTAACCCTAGTTTAGGTAGCTTTTTAATCTTTTTCTTAATTTGTTTAGATGAGTCTTATGGATATTTAAAAAAATTTCTTCATTTTCTACAAAAATCTGGTGTATAAATTTGAGCAAATGCCTCCCTCCTCTCCTGAGTATTTACTTTATGGCCTATGCTCATTTTTTCCCACTATAGAGTCCTTTAAAATTTGCTATAGAAATTTGTTCTGTTGACCGTCACAGACAAAAGTTCAAATTCCACATGCCAGGATGGTCAAGGTGATCCAACATTTATATGACCTGGTTTCACATCATACTTGCTTTCTGGTGCTACAACTTGGAGCAGGACTAGCTAATTGGGCAGTTGCATACACTATACAACTTTAGACCAAATCCCCTGATTCACAAACCCCCCACTGTCCTCAGGTGCAAAGGCAGAAGGGTGGCAAGGCCAGCCTACCAGGCTCCACTCTAGTGGATACCATGTGTTCTAGTGTTACACCATATTGAAGAATAGTCAGGGTAAAGATGTAGGTATACCCTATATATGCCAATTGCAATATAGTTTGACGTTTGACATCCACCATCCACAGAGAGTAGAATAGTACAAAGTAAATAATCATAACAATATCTGCTACCAATTGATAATTACCATGTATTCAGCCATGGGCCGAATGCTTTACAAATACTACCTTCTCCAACCAGCCACACTATGAAAAAGTTCTTGTTATTTACTTTGTAAGACATGCAATGCAGAAAGTTAGGTGACTTGCCTGGAGTTTTCCAGCCAACAAGGGTTAAACGTAAGTTTGCCTGATTTCAAAGGAATTAGATAACTTTATTTTGCTTTTGGGTTAATGTACCTGGTTCCCAAGAAAGTAGATGGAAGATGCAGGTTGCTGGCAGTTGAGAGAGAATTTGGTCCCAAGCTTTGCTCTATAAAACTTGTGGAAGAAAGACTAGCACTTATAAGAAGAAACAGTGATGGTGTGATTACAGCAGAACTGAGGTTGTTTCCAGTGCTGTTACTATCTGAACCAGAATAAGCCATTCTACTCCTTTTGTCCTTTGTTTCTTCATTTAGCAAATGAAGGCATAGGGTAGATGGTATCTAAGGTCTCTGCTAGTTCCACCTTTCCTAACTCCTCTTGGTGGGAGATACCCAGTGCTTGGTCCTGACAGTTGCTAGAGAGATCCTCACCATGGGGAGAGAACCCACTATGGCCTTGGGCCACTGGGGCCTGACACCTGCTGAAAGATGGTGGGAGTTTTCTGTGGCTCCTTATCGTCTCATCACATCTTTGTGGCACTTGCCTTCTGTTACTTGCCACTGGTCAGTGTGGGACGATCCACAGTACAAGTCAGTCCCACTTTTTGCCATGTATAGGTTGAACAGTTCAAGGTCTAGGAAGTTAAACTCAACATATTTCTGTTAAAATCTTTTCCAGAAAAGTCAATTAAAACCCCAGGTCTTATAACAATCAGAATTTTGAAAATCACTATCTGACTTATTATAATATGAAATAGCAGCTAGATCTGTACATCTGACTTTATTTTAGTTTTGCTCTTGAATCTGGAGTTTTCTAGCTTTACAGAGACAAAGGGAGAGAGAAAAAGATTGTGTGTATGTGTGTGTGTGTTTGACCATTACTGAATCTTACCGTGTCTCCTGGTTGTGGACGCATCACAGACACACGATCATATCCTTTCCTTAGTAGGACCCACAAAGCATCGAGTTTTCCCTGAAATAAAACAAAGACACCGAGATTACATATGAAACCAGGCCAGTGGCCATTCGCTGTAGACATATAGAACTTTCTGTGCTTCTTTATTCATGTGAACAACACAGCTCCAGTAATATGGATGTGACAGCATTAGTGATCATCCAGTCCCCAAATTCAAATATGGAGAGTCACAAATCAAGGAGGAGAAGAGTTAGGTAACAAAAAATGCTGGTGCTCATGAAAGATACACATAGACCTTAGTGCAGCAATAGAAAACGAATATAGCCCTTATCACTCCGACACACTCTGTGTTGCCTATTGTCAGTCTCGGCCCACTGGAAGGTCAGCTCCACAAAAGCAGAGGTGTCATTGGTCTTGCTCACGGCTGTGTGCCTAGACCTTAGGATGGCATCTTGCCCTCAACACAAATTTGTTGGATGAATGAATGTACCTAAGTCCTAGATACCTTTAACATTTAATTCTCCCAGCAGTCCCAAAGAGTTGTGGAGAAGGAACGGAGGATCAGAGAGATCAAGTGGCTTGCCCATACACAGCTTGTATTTTACACATATTTACACACAGCTTGTACATCAGAGAGTTGTGATTGGAACCTTTGTCTATCTAATTCCAAAGCTTATGAACTTTCTACTATACCAACTGCAGATTCTTCTTCAGGAGAATCTTCTGGCTGGAGTACTTTAATTTAGAGTCTTTTGTAAAGGTTTGGTGCAAAAGGTGTTTCTAAAATTGAGTAAACTTTTGTAAAGTTGAGTGCAGGAGGGTTTCTAAACTTGAGTTGCCACCTGCTAAGTAAGCCCTTATATGATCAGTTTTGTGCATCAGGACTGGAATTTCTATAAAATAAAATAGAACAGGATATAAAATATTAGAATTAATTGTACCTGGTGAATGTAAGTATTATTTTGTGAAAAACTATTCCAGTGATGTGTGTGTATGTGTGTGAATACACAAGTGTAGACATATACTGGGTCGAAATACAAAATATATTTCTTACTAAAGATCTTTGGAATGCTTGAAAACACTAATCTGGAAGAGGTCTTTGAATGATAGTTCTAGAAAGGCTTGGGAATTTCGTTTGAGTTCCTTGACACAAAAGATTAATAACAGCAGCATTAATTTAAGAATCTTCTTGAAGATTTAAAGAAATTATTTTCCAGTAATTTATGTCTACATACAATGTTTTCTTGAAACTTTATCCACTGCTGTTTGAGTTCTTGTGAGTTAAACTTTGTCTTCCCAAGAGCAGTATTTCTCATCTCTTTTGGCAAGAAATTTACAAAAGTCTAACAAAAGTTTTGAAATGACTTTCAAATGCTGGACAGAACTGCTCCTGTGTTCAGCACGGTTTTCTGCATTAAACTGTTTCAATCATCAGCTAAATGTTTTCCTTTAAGGTTCTTTGGGATAAGCATTTATATTTCAGGATATAACCAGGTGGATGTCCTGGATGACTGCCTCTGTGTATGTGTGTGTTTAGTTCCTTTTCATTGGAGTGGGGGTGGGGAGTGTTGGGCTCTTCAGTATTTGGCTTTATAAATCAGCCCACCCACAGAGTTCTTTGCACTAATCACTCCACCTTTTTGCAAATAAGGAGCCTTGAGATGGGGCTGAAAGAAAAAAATCTGGCTGTTCAAGATGTGTATTAATTAGCACAACAGAAATTTAAAGCTACATGCACAGCAAAAAAGTAGTAAATGGTTAGTAAAGTAAGTTTCTTTGTGGCTACAGTTTATTGTGTATGGTTTAAGCACAGAGTGACTGAGGTCAGAAGGCCTGGGTGTATTCTGGGTCTACCCCTCACCTGCTTTGCAGTTTGGACAAGTTGTTCCATCTCCCTAAGCCTTACTTTACTCATCTTTAAAATGGAGATGGTAATAATATCTCCCCTATAGATTTGGTGTAAGGTCTAAAATGAAATACTAAAGGGAAGTACTTGTCTCATAGAAAGCTCTCATTAAATGTTACCTGTGATCAGGGTAAAGTCACTGAAATGATCATTTGGGAGGCTCTGTACAAAGATGGAAAGAGTCTAAGAAATCAATAATTTATGAGCCTGTAACTGCCTGTGTTTGACCCCCTTTGGCCCTTTTCTGTTCTCATCTCTCAAGCTGAGTGTTCTGTGTTTCTCCAACCCCAGTTCCTACTATTTCCCAAGCCACAGTTTTTATTTCTCTTCAGCCTGCTTCTACCTCCACTCCAACAGAACAAGGCCGCCCTGGGCATTGGTGCTGAGAGCCTTGATACTCATTTCACTTGATTCTTTGGGAGATCTGCTGGGCTGGCCTCTCCCTCTTGAACAACCCCCTGTCCATTGGCCTCTGGGCCATCAGCCTCTGTGCTCTCCTTCCTACCTCTCTGATTAGTCCTTTCACCACCTCACACAGTGGTGTTCCCTTTGGAACCTCTTCTATTCTCATCTCTCAAGCTGAGTGATCTCAAATCTCAGGATCCAACTTCAGCTTGTCTGCTGATGGCATACAAATTCTACCTACAGCTTCATCCTCTCTCCAGCTCCAGGACTGGGGACCCACCTACCTACCTAATCATAACTCTAATATTTGTGTACGACAGACATGTAAGAGAAAACATCACAAACTGAATGAACTCTTTTCTCCCCAAATCTAATCCTCCTTTTGCGTACTCTGCCTCCGATGGTGGCACCACTGTCTGCCCAGATGAGAATAATTCTCATCTCTTCTTTATGTCCAATATCTACCTGTCATGTGGTTGGCCCCTCTGTGAAAGTTCTCCTGTCACCTCTCGCGGTCTACCCCCACCCCACCACCTCCATAGCTCCTGCCTTGGCCCAGGTCCTCATCCTCTGTCACTCACTCTGTGACTCTTTTCCTGATTGCTCTTTCTCTCAGTTGACTAATAAGGAATGTCATTGCTAGCCCAAGTGGATGCATGGCAGTGAATAAAACCACTAAACACCTTACTAGCAGTGTGACTTTGGCAAACTACCTAGTCTCTCTGTGCTTGGGTTTTTGGATTTGTAAAATAGGACTCCTAATAGCTTCTACTTTTGAGCATTGCTGTGGGAAACAAAGGGATCAATTGGTACATGGAAAGCACTGGAACAGTGCCTGACTTTTGGTATGCATCTCCAGGTGAGTTGTCTCTGGGTTCTTCTGGCCAAGGTGACACTATCTAGTTCCTGTGGTGGCCTCAGTATTCTGAGACCCTCTGTCCCACAAATGAACCTGAAGTCCCCAGTCTGCGGCATAGAAAACAATCAGGGTAACCTACATAACCTATAACTCTCTCTACTGTATCAGGTAGCTTTTATTGCCAGAGTAGAAACATTAGGGAAAGTATTTACAACCAACTAAGAAGAGAATAATAAAAAGAAAACTCGAGAAAGTCAAAGGGAGATGCATGACAAAGGCTCCTGATTTTCTGGAAGCAGGTAGAATCCTACTACGTAAAGACAGTAAGCAGAGAATGGGGTTATTAGTAATACCCCTTTGGGGCCAGATGTACCTCAGGGGATTCTTCCAACAGTCTCTGGGCTTTGCTTAAAGCCCAGGAGAGCCTACTAAGTTGATTCTAATTCGTGATCTCTGATCTGGGTTACCACGCACACACTGTAAGACTCTAGTCCTCACTCAGCAGGTAAAATGCTCACCTGCTTGTTGAAGCTAGGACAAAGATTTTTTGCTCGAATCTTGGAATCCTCTGCCAGAGAGCATTACCCACATATAGTTGACACATTTTGACTATAAAATGAGAAATTTACCAATTCTAGGCTCCCACACCATATCTCAACCTCAGACAATAACTTTTAATCTGGACAAGCAGACAAACTGGAAGTTCTATGTAAACTCTAACTTTTGTGTCTTTCCAAACAATCAGACTGTGCCGGGAATGTTTATGCGGCCCTCACTCAAAGCACTCTGGTCAATGCGTGTTTGTGGCTGGGTTTCCTTTTTTTGGTCAGATAGCAGCTGTGTCTTCTCTTCTGCAGTCTGCCCTGGCAGATGGAAGTTAGTCACAAATTGAGAATTTTGAGGGTAGTTCAACTCATGGGGCCACTATAGACTGACACTTAAATTTTTAAACCTTAAAATTTTAAACCTTAAAATACATGGGAAGTAGTGTGACCCAAACCTCCTCTCAAATGAAATAAACTAATGGGAAAAGCTGAAAACTATACTCACAGAGTAATTTGTTTTGAGATTTTTATATATACATACATATATATATATATATACACACACACACACACACACACACCACATATATATACATATATATATATACCATATCTCAACCTCAGACAATAACTTTTAATCTGGACAAGCAGACAAACTGGAAGTTCTATGTAAACTCTAACTTTTGTGTCTTTCCAAACAATCAGACTGTGCCGGGAATGTTTATGCGGCCCTCACTCAAAGCACTCTGGTCAATGCGTGTTTGTGGCTGGGTTTCCTTTTTTTGGTCAGATAGCAGCTGTGTCTTCTCTTCTGCAGTCTGCCCTGGCAGATGGAAGTTAGTCACAAATTGAGAATTTTGAGGGTAGTTCAACTCATGGGGCCACTATAGACTGACACTTAAATTTTTAAACCTTAAAATTTTAAACCTTAAAATACATGGGAAGTAGTGTGACCCAAACCTCCTCTCAAATGAAATAAACTAATGGGAAAAGCTGAAAACTATACTCACAGAGTAATTTGTTTTGAGATTTTTATATATACATACATATATATATATATATACACACACACACACACACACACACCACATATATATACATATATATATATGTGTGTATACACACACACACATATATATATAGTCTTTAGGAAAAGTTTGGAAACATTCTAGAAAGTAGTTAGAGAGGGACAAAAGTCTTTTCAGCACCAACAGCACATCTGACAATGCTTATAAATCTTCCTTGGTTGTATACAGCCTCATCTAATATAGTTTCACAACTGAATGCCACCTGACAAGTCAAAGAGCTTAAGACCAAGAAAGACAGGGTGGTCTGACAGGAA